CTTCTTCTTAACTTGAGAATTGGACTCGCCAATACCAAGTAAGTTTATACACGACTCCTCTTTACGGATCTGTAAGCGGTGAGCAAGGTCCTCTGTTATAAAATTCGTTTGGGACCCAGAGTCAAGAAGTGCTCGGGCCCAAATATATTCACCGTTTTTAGTTCTTACACTTACGATCGACGTGGCTAAAATCACTCTGTCCAATGATGTCGCATGCATAACATGTGACGTGGAAGGCTGATCTTGATTTAAAGAGGGAGAAAGAATCTCTTGGGGTGGTGGCAACGCTAAACTATTTTCGGACACTGTATATCTATGCAGTAAAACGTGATGCGAGCGGCCACAAACTCGACACTTATTAAATTTGCATTTTGAAACAGTGTGACCCTTTCGCATACAATTGATGCATAAGGAAGCAGATTTTACAAAGTCAAACCTTTGCATTACCGAAAGGCGACCAAACGGACCACAGTTTGCTAGGATATGGTCTCCTGCATTGCAATAGCTACAACTTTGCTGGGATTTACTGTTGGACGAAGAACAAGAAAATGAGCTGCGATTATGTGGCTTGCTCGACATAACTTTATCTTGCTTTGGTTTCGTCGATTCTTCAGCGGATAAATGCTGGTATCGGCGGTTTAACATTTTTTCAAAATCGGACCAAAGCGGTAACCTTTCATAATCTAATTGTTCTTCCCATTTTTGTTTGGTCACTGGGTCTACTCTGTTCAAAACAAGATAGATCAACATTGCATTTGAAATCTTGGTGTCGTCTCCTATCGATAACAAAGAACCGTATATAGATGATACGGTGTCGATAATATTTCTTAAAGACGAAGCTGACTGTTGCGTTATTTTCGGAAGACTAAACAATGTTGAAATATTATTCATAAAAATTAAACATTCGTTATCATACACTTTTTTCAGGCTGATCATAGCCTTTTCATAATTGCTCTCGGTGACTTGGTATGCCTTAATAGTTCCCAAAGCTTCACCAGAAAGACAAGAAATTAAGTGATTGAATTTTTCTATGACGGGAATGCTGTCGTCTTGATGAACAAGAGTTTCGAAAAGGCTAATGAAATTCTTAAACTCCGAATATTTGCCGCTGAATTTCGGCAATGCCAAATTCGGAAGTCGAGCTCGAGTTGGGGCTACAGAAGCTGATCCAATTATTTTGGTCTCGCTTGCCGTCTTCAAGGCTGAGATAAGCGACATTATTTTTGCCTTGGTAATTATTGAAAGCTCTTCCAACTCTTCTCCGAACTCATCGCCATCATCTAAATCTTCGATCTGTTCTTGTATTTGAGTTGCCTTAATAATAGAAGCATTTAAAATCTCTAGCCGACAAGTTAGTTCTACTTCTTGGATCGGAATCTGGCCGGCTTCTATTCGATCATTTAATCGGCGGATGCTCATCACTGGTTTTTTGAGCTTATTTTTAAGATCCGCAAGAAGTTCAAGAGATTTTGGCTTATCTGGACTCATTTTAATTTATTTATTTTTTTTTTTTTATTTTTTATATATAAACCACGAAATAAATAAATATATATATAAATAAATTATTTATCCAAGAATAATAATTAATAAAATAAATAAGTTTTAAAAGAGGATAATTGTTCAATTAGAATGACGACAAAATGTTAAATAAATTTTCGAAACAAAATACTAAGAGTAATGACAATTTAATTTAATTATTAAATTTGTTCGAAAAAATTATTTTAATAATTATCCACAACGAAAACGACGAAAAAAAATATTAAATTGAATATCGAGCCACGAGGTATCAAAATTAACAGTGGTTGCAAATGACGGCAAAAATCAGTATACCCGTCCGAATGCAGGGTAGCGCGTCACTTTGATCTTCAGCGCGCCAAACCAAAAGTCCAACAACAATTACAACGATGCTAACGGCAGACAAGCGAAGCGAAAAAGGAAAACGAAAAAGTTAACCGCTGCAGCTGCTTGTATATGAGGACTTATGTATTGGTTATATATAGCGGCTGGGATGATTTTACCAACTATTAATTTTCGAGTTTCAATAAATAAATTGGGGGCGACAGTGATTGCAATAATATAACACAATTATGTAAATGTTGCGTCCAACGGAGGTTCAAATAGGTTATAATGTGTATGTGTATATGTATGTGTATATAATAAATTTTAATATAATTTTTTATTTTTATTTATTATAAATAAATGCATGCACAACTAGCTCTACTATATCGATACGTCTGTGCCAAGAATTGAAAGCGAGGTGCAATTTTTCAGCACAAGACAATAAACAATTAAATTGTTTTTCTTATAAACTCAAGCTTTCAATTTTTTGCACAAATACCTCAGGTTCTGCTTTAGGGTCTTTCAATCCAGCTTCCACTTTCCTTTTGCACATTGAGCAGTCGCAGGGCATCCCTCTGGCAGCAGTTCTTTTTGGCGAACAGAGTATTTCGCGACCGGCACGATATTTTAAGCAGGAGCTGCTGTGTATTTCCTATCCACACCGACACGCCGCGGGCAACAAAATCACTGTGTATATGTGTAATTGAGTGCTTTGAACTCCACTTGCACTTGCACTTTATATATATTTTTTTTTTTTGGTTTGTGTGTCACTGTCACTGGTTTCCAAATATTAATAACTTTAACGTCCACCCGGGAGCGCCATGAAAAATTAGATAGTTTTCTAATTATCAAAACCGAGAAAAAACTTGGCGGTGGCTAAAATTATTATTTGCGAAAACGAAAACGGAAAGAAAAGGTGTCGACGGCTCAAATCAATTTCAACGAATACTTCTATATTTTTCGACAAAGTACTTAGAGCCTAGCTTAACGAAGGTTGGCGAAGACGGGGCGATTCGCCGAGAGCGAGAGAAAACTTTATTATGCTCCCGCCTTCGCCCTAAACTAACTTACACTAAACTTCAAGTTTTTTAACAATTTCATTAAATTCAAATTTGCGCGAACAAACAGAGCTGAATAAAAAATCCGAAAAGTCGGTTAAACGAATCCGCTGCTTTCGTAAGGCAAACTTTCATCTTTTAAATACTTTTATATCCGGCTATGACTGGTCCGAATTTTATTCATGCACTAACGTGGCTAAGGCCGTTAAGTAAGTTAAGCAAGTAATTACAGAGGCATATCCAAATTATCCGCCATCCCAAAGCTTTTCGAAAACACTATTACACCCCATTTGCAACATCTTTGTAGATCGATTATATCTCCATGTCAACATGGATTTATAAGGCGAAGATCTACGACGACAAACCTCTTGGAGCTAACGTCTTTTGTAATAAATGGCTTTAGAAAGAACATGCAGACTGACGTAGTTTACACTGACTTTAGTAAAGCGTTTGATTCAGTAAATCACTCGCTACTTATATTAAAGCTAGACTTATTAGGGTTTCCATGTGATCTTCTAACATGGATCTCAAGTTATCTGAGTGGTGGAACTCAACGAGTCCTCTTTAAAAACTCGATCTCTGATTTGATCCGAGTTACTTCAGGCGTCCCACAAGGAAGCCACCTTGGCCCACTTCTTTTTACTTTATTTATAAACGATCTCCCTCTAGTCTTGACAAAGTCGCGTGTCCTTATGTACGCAGATGACGTTAAGATATGCCTGCAATATAACGAAATTTCTAGCAGTTTAGACTTACAATCTGACCTAAACGCTTTTCAAACATGGTGTTGTGAAAATCTTTTGGATTTAAATAGCGCTAAGTGCAAAGTAATGACATTTTTTCGGGTGAACCCACAATATGCAACGTATACGCTGGGTGGTTGCGCGTTGTCTAGAATTACGCATGTCGATGACCTCGGCGTCCTCCTTGACCCTAAACTTAAGTTTTGTGACCATATTACTTCTATGGTGAATAAAGCCAGGGGAGTACTTGGATTTATTAAAAGGTGGTCAAAGGAATTCGATGATCCCTATGTTACAAAGACTCTCTTCATTTCACTAGTCCGTCCAATCCTGGAGTACTGTTCTGCAGTTTGGAGTCCTCAGTATGGTGTACATATAGACCGGAACTTTGCAAAAGAACTTTTTATTATTTGCTCTACGGGGCCTTAACTGGAATGCAAGCCTTATTTTACCATCCTACTCTAGTAGACTTCTACCATCCTTAGTAAACCGTAGAACGATGCTTGGCACAACTTTTATCTATAAACTTATTCACGGGGATGTGGAGAGTCCCGAGTTACTGGGTCGCATAAGCTTCTCCGTGCCTAATACAATTACCAGGAACTATGTTCCTCTTACATTAAATATTTGTAGATCTAACTTTGATATGCATGAACCGTTTAGAGTGCTGTGTAACGACTATAATAGACTATACCACATTATTTCTACTACCGACTCTTTGCCAAGTCTAAAATCATTAATTTTATCTTACCTAGCACAAAATTAGTATTAGTATTAGTCTCGTACGTATTTGTAATCTTAGTGTGTCCGCTTCTACATTGTGCTTTTAACTTCTCGCGATCTCGTTTTTACGCCTATTAGGCTCCGCGCGTAACAAGCAATGCTTGGTGTCGTAAGGGCCACTTGTTTGCGCTGATCATAGTGCATCAACGTCCGAAAAAAAAAAAAAAATATATCTGGCCTCTACGAGGTCTCTAAAGTGTTTGGTGATTTGTGTGCTTTAGAGTGGACATGACCAATCCTTGAACTAAACGGGTACTGCGTAAAAAAGCAAGAATTCATTCGGATAGACAGACGGACATAGCTTAATCGACTCGGCTATTAATACTTATCAATAATATATTTACGTTATAGGGTCGGAAACGCTTCCTTCTACCTGTTACTTACTTTCCAAATATAACAATCTACCCTTGTTATCTACGAGTAACGGTATAACATGGAAATATTGTTTCCAATCGTGACATCGAGGTTAGAAAGCAAACAAAAATCGATTAATGTATACAGACATACACATAGACTAGTTAATATCCAAACAAAAACTAAAATAATATAGTTTCAAATAATTTAATAAGATAATTACCTCTTTAATTTTTAAAGGGATTTCAGTTATATTTCCTCGAACATTTATTTGGCGAATTAATAGAACATTTTGAAGATCACAACGCTTCAGTCCCAGAAGGCTAGAAATGTTGGAAATAGCTTCCTGGTCTGAATTTGAAAAATCGCAGCCTTCTCCATCAATGTCCATAAAGTCTATATTACCCAACCACAATATTGAGCTTAAGACTTTAAAAACGCCATCTATTACAAATTGGGGAACTTGTAAAACCGTAAACGCCATGGTAACGGCATCGAATTTCTTTGATTCTAAAGCCATATTGATTTGTTCAGTACTCGTAGTATTTAGATATTTATAAAATTCAGGTGGCTTTAAATAAAAAGCCTTCGCTACATCAGTGTTTTCCTGTCCCTGTGCCACTAGCTGATACATTATATGGTAGTTTCGCTCCCCTTCGCTTTGGTATGTTATCCGAGATTGTTCAAGCAGGTAATCTTGAATAACGCATCCTTTTATACAGTTGTGGTCATCAAAACAAACTTGCATAAATTTCCCAAATCTAGAACTGTTATCGTTTCTTATCGTTTTAGCATTTCCTGTAAAGAGTAGAAAAACAATATTATTAATAAAATTTCAAACGTTTAAAAAACAAAAGGTTGACTGAAACTTTCTTTGTTTTCTATTTTATACTATAAACTATTTATTTTTCAGGATATCAAAACATTTTTAAGCGGGCGTAAGTTTGGGTCAAAATTTTGATCGGTGTTTACTGGAAGAATGAATTCCGACAACAAGGTCATGACGTTAGACCAAACAATTGCACTTACCAAAACAAATAATTGACAAAACAATTGTACTAACCAAAACAATATATAATCTGATTACTGGGTTCTATGTACGTTAATTAGAATGGAACCCAAAAATGTCACCGGGCACGAGGCGCTAATCAGCGGTCCCCACAATTATGCTCGTTATTGCCAACGTCGGGCCCTTTGCCCGGTTCTTTTGGAGATTATTTTAGTTAGCATTAATTAGCTTTTAACAGACAGAAAAGAATCCAAACGGATTCCGAAATAATATTAACTGTTAAAAATATAAATTTACGCATATGAATATAGATAAGTATTAGCAGTGCGTTAATATTAACATCTGCACTTCAATTATGTAAACTAACATTTAATAAATATAGTCGCGAATAAATAGTCAAAGCAGCACGACGTGTTTTATTTTACGCTTCCGCCAAGACTTTCCTAACGAACCAATTCATTCAACAGGTTATGGGCTCAGTCGCGATCAAACACTCTCCGAGTCAAGACGTGCCTAAATTCTACGTGGAAGCTACGCTTAAACTATCAATAACAGTTACTCGAGTTGCGAAAACAAAACACAACAAAAACATAACAGTTGTTGCTGATCAGCAACCGAAAAAGTGTTGTTGTCAACATGAGCGACGACGAAGACAACGCATCGGTTTGGAGCTGGCAAAGAATTAAACCTAAGCCAAAGGGAATCAAGAGACAAAACCAAGTTTATCCGATATTGCTAAAGAAAAAACTTGCCCTGAACACTGCACCCTGCACTAGCTCTAATCAATTCGCTATCCTAGCCGAACGCTCGCCAATTGAAAAACGTATTGATGCAGACGAAAACGAAGCACTGGACATGATAACTGAAGACAACATTGATGAACTTGCCAAGCAGCAACAAGACGTGGAGTCCAAAGGTCATTCTGTTAGGAGTATAAATAACATTAAAAGCCGTGGAAAAAGAGCCATTAAATCTGTTCTTCCTTGACATTGAGCCCAACAATAATAACAAAGACATATACAAAGTTAAGCACATTGGTAACGCAATTGTTAAAATAGAGCCCCCTCATAAAGCAAAGGACATTGTTCAGTGTCACCGTTGTCAGGAATTCGGGCACACAAAATCCTATTTTTCCATAGGTGTGTAAAATGCTCTCGTAAGCATCCCAGCAACATATGCCCAAAAGATAAAGAACAACCAGCAAAATGTGCGAATTGCAACTAAGATCACGCTGCCAGCTACAAAGGGTGTAGAGTCTATAAGGAACTCATATCAAAACAATTAGCTACTGGTCGCAAACAGATGCACAATAAAGACTAAAATAAAAACAATTCTGTTAGATTTCAATTATCTATTCTGCCTGATAAGGCGACCCAACAACCAAAAGATTACCAATCATACGCTCAAGTTGCTGCAGGAACTCGTAATTCGAATACTTCTCTAGAAAGAATAAAACATCTTTTAGAAAAACAATTTGAACTCACCAATAACTTACTTAACATGATAATGTTACTGGTCAATAAATTATGCAAATAAGTCCAAATTTAGGAATATGGAATGCCAATGCACAATAGCTCATATGCTGGACAAGCCATACAAAGTCATATCTGCTTCCACAGACATTAACGCGTTTAAAAACCACCTAGAAAAAGCCATAAGCCTAGATATTTCGTTAAAAACAGGAGAGGAAATAGACTATGCTGTGGAGCACCCACAGAAACCAACAACCAAACCAAGTGTTCCTTTCTACCGAAACTCGAGAAAAAATTCAACAAAAAAGAGACATGAGAAAACGTTGGTAAGAAATCCCCTATCCTGCTGAAAAAAGGTTATACAACAAAGCTGCATCTGAGCTTAAACAACTGCTGTCAAATTTACGAAATGAATCTCTAGCTGCATATCTGAGATATTTAGACCCTAATTCTTGCAACAAAGAATATAACCTGTGGAGAGCAACTAAATATCTATAGAGACCAGCAAAAAGAAACATAATCATCCGCAAAAGCAATGGAACTTGGTGTAGATCCTGATAATGAACAAGCAGAAGCAATTTCGTGACAGAAATTAAATGCTTAAACAACAAAAAATCACCAGGCCCGGATAGGATAGACGGCATTACTCTTAGAACTCAACCACCAAAATGCAGAAGGTTTCTCACACTAGTATTTAACGGTAATCTCAGGCTAGACCACTTCCCAAGTCAATGGAAATGTGCAGAAATCATTATGATTCTTAAGCCAAACAAGACAGAAACCGTCCCATTAGTCTGTTGACAATATTTTCGAAAGTATTTGAAAAAAAACTACTGAAGAGGATGTTTCCAATTTTGGACGAACTTGCCATCATTCCTGAATATCAATTATGAACAATGTCATAGGGTTATCAATGAAATTGTATCCGCACTTGAGAACAGAAAATACTGTACTGCTACATTTATTGATGTACAGCAAGCCTTTGATCGTGTTTGGCACAATGGATTAATCTATAAGATAAAGAAAAGGGTAGCTGCTCCCTACTATTTACTACTGAGATCCTATTTGTCTAAGAGATGATTCTACGTGCAGCAGACAAATGATACGCCAACACTACTTCTCATAAACGGAGGCGTTTCTCAAGGGAGTGTATTGGGACCAGTCCTTTACACTTTATATACGGCAGATATGCCAGTAACAAACAACTGTACCGTTGCAACATATGCTGACGATACAGCCATTCTGGCAACAAGCTCATCCAGAGATGAAGCATCTCATCTCTTGCAATGTGAGCTCAGTCTGATTGAAGCCTGGTTTCTCCGCTGGAAAATTAAAATCAACTCCCTGAAGTCCGTTCAAATAAATTTCGCACTAAGACCAGGAAACTGCCCAAATCTCACACTTAACGGCTCAGCAATTCGACAAGATACATGGAAGCCCCACATAATGTCAACAACTCAGACTGAAATCACTGAAAATGTCTTGGTTGCTAAGTCGAAAATCAGCAGTTACTTTGGATAACAAAGTTCTTCACTATGTAGCATATCACGAATGATTCTAACAGCAACGAAAGGTGGTGGGTGTAGCTTCAAGAGGGGCACGCGCTGGTTCCGGCTCGTGTTTTCGTCGGTGTTTACGCCGCTCTCCCCTCGTTTAAACTGCCCGCGCTTCCCTCGTAGCGAATGCCCACTCGCCCGCACTGGCCAGGCTCTCCCGCTCTCCCGCTCTCCCGCACTGGACGCTTGCGATTCCAGGCTCTCCCGCCTTCCCGCTCCCGGAATCTCTCCACTGCGCTTTGAAACGCAGCGTTCAATTAGGTTTAAGTTAGTCTTTCATTGTACCACTAGTGAAATACATCGCCCGGCCGGTCCGCGCTATAACCCGAAAAGTTCACCGAGTTTTTTTGTTTCATTACTTTGCGCACCGCGATCGAGTGTCTCTTCACCACGTATTTTCCAGCTTGCGACCCGGCTACGTGCGACAGCCGCAACCACCGACGAAGCTGCCCCCAAGCGACGACATCCCCGACGCCCCAACTCTTCATTTTTTGGTCCTTTAATTTATTAATTTATTGATTTATTAATTTGTTTCTTCGGTTTCACTTTTTTTTTTTTTTTTCAAAAAAAAAAACGCCCTTTCCAGTATTTTGTCTTCTTATTTATTGAGCTTGGTAAATCTGCAGATACATCGATACTCAATTTTTTCTTTTGGGGATAAAAAGAAAAATTCGAAAAAATACCACCCGCATACCACTGAAAGGTATTATTTTTGTTTTTTTTGTCTCCGAATATTTTTTTTAAAATAAAGAAAAACAAAACCAATAAACTCCAAACACTGCCGGGGACATCCAATCCCATCCTAATTCGGCCAACCACCCACTATAAAATACTAAACGACAAATACCTCATCCAATCCAGTATTTTTTCAGTATTTTTATTTTGTGGAATTTTTTTGGTATTTTTTTTTTCCATTCTTGCTCTATCGTTCCACCAAAAGCCTGGCGAATATTTCAATAATAATTCAGCCACGCATATCGACTATTTTTTGAGCTAGTCGATATCCTATTTCCACCGGTCCATAAGTGGGTCCGTAATTGTTTCTCTGATTTTTGTCCGAAACATCAGCGCGCACATTCCATCCTAACAGCATCCTAGTTTGGTATGTCCGGGGAAAGTTCCAACAAACTATCCCCTGTTCCATCACCGAAAATACCAAAAATCACGGTAAGGACGCCCACACCTAAAAAGGTCAAGACGTCACCTCCCAAAAAGGCTCCTTCTTCCATCGAAAGAACCACGCGAGCCAGCACAAAAATGGTTGCAACGGCTGCCGACCTCGCTATGAGCCAATTTATTGAAGTCTCGGATCGACTGTCCGAATTGGAATCGCGGATAAATATTCCCTCGGCGGTCCCTCCTACGTTATCCGTCCTCAATATTCGCCGAGACGAAATCCGAGAGGTATGGATCCGCATCAAAAAAGAATACGATGCCTGTACCGCATGCCTTGTAGCAGCCGGAGAAGGTGCAGCTGACAGCTTGCCAGTCCTCAAGGCTAAGTACGGGTATTGCTACAGCGCGTACGAAAGGTGCGGTGCCCAGATAGCAGACATGATAGCGCAAACTCCGCAACTTCCGCAACCTTCCCCAACGCCAGCTGATCCTTCTCAGACATACATTCCGTCAGGCTGCCGGCTTCCGCCGTGCGATACCGAAGTTTTTACCGGCGACTATCTTCGTTGGCCAACCTTTAGGGATCTATTCACGGCAATTTATATCAACAATCCCAGACTCACTCCGGTCGAAAAATTATTTCAC